CTTTAAGGGAAATTTGTGTATTCTGTAAATATTTCTTTCAGCAATTGCCTCAACAATGTATTCTTTCTGAATAATTTTTGAACTGCTCTTTCATTTTACATCTAATCCTTTTTCATTAAATGTCTTTAGAATGCTAACTCTCCGCCTTCAACAACTTCAACAGTTCTTTACCTCATCCGAATCTTTTGCATTCAATTGTTTTCAGCCAAAATTTTCAAGATTTCTAAGTGTTCATTGATGACTGCCCAATGCACTGGAGTTCTCTAAAAAAATTGCATCTCAATAATTTATGCAAATTAAACTTTTTCTTGTTATTGAAGTTCACCTGTTTTCCCTCAAAAAAAGATAAATTAAAAACCGCAATAATTTATAATTCGCTCAAATAAATTTTGAAATTTTTGCATTTTTGACGAAATTTTTTGAAATAATTATTAAATAATTTTTTAAGACCTTAAACGGTATAAAAATTTTGATTATTTTAAGATTTGTCGTCTTAAGTCTTTTTAAGTCTTTCTATTTTTTATCACAAAAAAAAAAAATAAATCAAAGTTAAAATGCGCAGCAAAAAAATATCAGAAAGAACTCAAAAAACTTATATTCTTTTATGAGGTAATTGTTTTTTTTAAAATTTTTTACTATATTTGTTTTCCTTTTTTTAAAAGTTTTCAACAGTTTATTCTTCCTCAACAATTTTCATACTATTATCTTATTTTACATCAACATTTCTTAATTTAAAGTTTTCAGACTGCTGACTGATTTTCTTGGACTCTTTCAACACTTATTTACCTGCCATCTGTCTTTTACATTCAAATCAACTTTATTTTGAGCCAAAATTTTCACAATTTCTGTGTGTCCTTTGAACACTGCCCAATGCATTGGTGTGAACTGAAAAAATGAAACTTTATAATTTATACGAATTGAACCTTTTCTCGTCATTGTAATTCAATTGTTTTTCTTTATGCAAAGGTTAACTAAAAGCGCAATAATTTATAATTCCCTTCTGCTAAATTTTAAGATTTCTTCATTTTTGATAGAATTTTTTTAAGATGATTGTTAAATATTGTTTTAAAACGTTAATTGAAATTAAAATTTTGATTATTTCACATTTTCTCGCCTTAAACCTTTTTAAGTCTTTCAATTTTTATCACAAAAAATGTAAATTGAAGTAAAAATGTGCAGCAAAAAAATATCCAAAAAACTATGAAAATTTTTATTCTTTTATGAGATAATTTTTTTTTTTTTAAAATTATTTACTGTATTAATTTTTTTTTTTAAAGAGTTTCTAACAACTTATTCTTTCTCAACAACTTTTATACTATTTTCTTATTTTACATCAAACGTTTCTTAATTTAGTTTTTAGACTGCTAACAGATTTTCTTCAACACTTTCAACAGTTCATTACCTGAATCTCATCTCTTATATTCAAATCGGCTTTATATTGAGCCAAAATTTCCACGCTTTCTGTGTGTCTATTCTGTACTGCCCAATGCATTGGGGTTTCCTAAAAAAAATGCATCTGAATAATTAATGCGAACTAAACTTTTTCTTGTCATTAGACTTCACTCGTTTTTCCTCAAAAAAAGATAAATTAAAAACCGCAATAATTTATAATTTTGCTCAAATAAACTCTAAAATTTTTTTAAACTGATTATTGAATAATGTTTTAAAAAGTTTTGATATTAAAATTTTGATTACTTTACCTTTTCTCGCTTTGAACCTTTTTTAATTTTTCAGTTTTTTCATAAAAAATATAAATGAAAGTACAAACGCGCAGCAGAAAAATATCAGAAAAAAAAACTAAATAACTTTTATTTTTCTATGAGATAATTATTTTTCTTTTACATCATTTATTATATTACTTTTCTGTTTTTTTTTTTTCGAAAGAGTTTTCAACAGTTTATCCTTTCTTAACAACTTTTAAACTGTTCTCATATTTTACATCAACATTTCTTAATTTAAAGTTTTCAGACTGCTGACTGATTTTCTTGGACTCTTTCAACACTTATTTACCTGCCATCTGTCTTTTACATTCAAATCAACTTTATTTTGAGCCAAAATTTTCACAATTTCTGTGTGCCCTTTGAACACTGCCCAATGCATTGGAGTTCTCTGAAAAAATTGTATCTCAATAATTTATACAGATTAAACCTTTTCTCGTCAATGCAGTTCAGTTGTTTTTTTCTCAATTTTTAAATTTTCAACAAAATTTTTTGAACTGATAATTAAATAATGTTTTAAAACGTTAAGTGATATTAAAGTTTTGATCATTTTACCTTTTCTCAACTTAAACCTTTTTTAGTCTTCTAATTTTTATCACAAAAAATGTAAATTGAAATAAAAATGCGCAGCAAAAAAATATTCGAAAAACTTTGAAAATTTTTATTCTTTTATGAGATAATTGTTTTTTTTTTTTTTTTTTTTTTTTT